ATATTACCACAAAGAAAGTGCATGCAGTGGCCAACTTGATCATATTCAGTTGCAAACTCACATCAGACTGAATTGGTCTAATTGTTGCTTTATCACCATCTTGAAGAACAAAAGCTGCTTTGAAGAAGAAGGCAACTGACTGTGAGTGCTTGCACACCTATCACTCTTTTCCCTTGTGTGACTGTAGCATTAGTTCAGAGCCAGGCTGATGCTAAGCTAACTGTCTTCAGGTTGTTCTGTCATGCACGAGTGGTAGTGATCTTCTTATCTAACGGGGCAAAGAAGTACAGTGCTTAACAAATTCATTAGAGCACCTGTCACAAAAACAAGAAAACGCCAATGTTTTTAGAAATCTGTCAGAAACTTGGAGCCGGCACAGTGGACTTCTCTGAGAAGTCGAAAAATTCATCAGGCTGTGTTGATTTACCATCACAGAAACATAAAATGTGAAGTAGTAATAACCAATATATTTTTTAAATATTACACTATTCTTTTAAGTACAGCCCTGAAACACTTGGATTTTGAGACTGTGATGCTGTTCTCACCTTCACCTTCATGGTGCAGTTACTTAATGAAGAAGAAGTCAGGAAGACTTCCAGCTGAGTCTTTGTGTGCGGCTTATCCACGGCAGACTTACAAGAAACACAGTGGAACTTCTGACTGCAGAAAAACACAAATATAATGTGATACTTCTGCCAGGATGACAAACATGAAGCTAGTTTGCTTAATTGTGAGGACCTACGGTCTTTCAGCTGAAAGCTCTAAGTTGTCACTTCCACAAAGATTACAGGCAGGCCACGAGTACGCCGTGCTCTCATCCACACCGACAACCATGCCTGCAGACAGAAACAAAACCATTAAAAATGACAGGGGGGACATTCATGCATGCTGCACAGCTCTGCAAGACTTTAGTTTCTGTTTTTAACCGGTTCTTTTTCATTTCTTGATATTTTTAGCCAAAGGAACAGCGATAAATGTTCGACGCACAAGCTTAAAAATGTGTGCATGCTGGTGACAGGGTGTAAGCGATAAACACATCCCTTTCAATTTTTATCTGAGATTGTCATGATAAATGCAGCAAAGACGCACTCCCTGCCTAAACATCATCACACTTGACAACCACAGTTGCAGCCCCACGACTTTATATCCTTACACAGGATACTAAATTCAAACCTGATAATAGCTTCTTGTACTTTCCATTTTGGGCCTTTTTTTTCCACTGGTGATTTCCAGAAGGTGTGAGTGCAAGACACAAGCTTGTTTTATTTTCATTCAGCCATCTGACCAAACATGTAGAGCAACAGAGGCCAGAACACAGTGTGATTTTTGCCCTCCATGCTGACATGAAATCAGCAGATGTAGATTATTATCTGCTTGAAGCAGCTCTATAATACACCACATTTACATAATTGGAGAAAAACAAAGAAAGAAAGCTTCAAAGCAAGGATGTTTAACCAAAGTAAGTGAGGTTGGTGTCAGTAAATTTAATTAGTTGATATATACTTTAATTAGAACTCATACGAGTAGTTTATCATTTATGTTTCAGATGTGGCAGCTGGTGGCGATCATAACTGGTGTTAGCAAACATTATAAATCCCTAAAAGCAGCAAGACTGCTTGTGTGCACAAAAAACAACTGAGGGAAAATGCCAACGTTCCCTCAAACTGTAACTCATTGTCACCAGAAGTTTAAAGCTTCGGGGGAGGCAGGCGGTTTAGTGAAAAAATGTAACAGGAATGGACAAGAATCCAGTCATTTTTCATGTTTTGTTTGCAAAAAAATCCTTTACAATTGCAACCTGAGGACAGTGACTAACAAACAGAGTGCAAACTCCTGCATCCACACCAAAGCCTCTTCTTGCGCTGTAAGCACACAATTGGCATGTTCTCCAGGAATTGAGCTAAATGGAAAAGCACGGGATCGAGTGAAAGGCAGAAGCAGACCTGTGAGAGTGCAGAGGGAGTTGGGTGTGGTCTCCAGACTCAGTGGATCCAGTCTCGCAGGCTGGGGCAGGGTCTTCGCCTGGGGCTCAGGCAGCGACTGCAAAAGTAATTCTGGCCTTTTTGTAGACTCGAGGCAACTGTCGGAGCACACCTGAATAACTGACTGCTCTGCGCAGAGAAGGACACCTGGAGGTGCAAATGCCAAAAATGAAATATCACATTGAAAGAACAAGTTCTAGTCTTAAAACTGCTACTGTGGTAAAGATGTAGAAACTACCAAGTAGAAACTGCCAAGGGAAAACAGGAAGCACCGCATGCTTCTGATGGCTGAATTTACAGGTGGGCTTCAGCTGGCCATGCAGAAGTAAAAAAAA